GGCTGGATACAGGACTTCAGACTCATTTTTCATTTGTGTCACTGGATCATTCAGTTCTAAGATGTTCAAATCTCTGTGTGTGAATTGCTCAGCAACTAGAAGTGGATGTGGAGAATCTGTACAGAGATTTTGACTTTCTCAGAGCTTTTTCTGTAGCCCACAAGTAAGTGGGCTCAAATTTTCAAGTGTGCTGAACAATATTGAAAGTATATCCCTTCTTGCACTAGGATACCATGAAAATAATCCTTCTCCATTCCTAAGCACTTTGGGACCAGAAATATTTCAATCGTCTCCTTCTAAAATGCTCTGAATACTTTGGCACTAGATCTCCATTGCAGCACCTCAGTAACCTGAAACTAAAATATCAATAGTAAAACTTCCATCTGTTCTATTTACTTATCAAATGATTTTGGACACTGTCAACTTCCATTTCCCTCCCCTTCAGAAACAGGCAGAAAGCTGCTTTCTCTGTAAGAGTCATGTAAGAGGAAATATGCACAAAGAAAAGGGGATGATTAAATAAGAATTAGGCAGAATATTTGTTCTTTTGCTGTCTAAGAGACAAGCCCATCAATGGGGAGGATAACAGCTCCCTTTCACAGGTAAGTGTCACATTACCAGGTTATGCTCCTCACTTCTACCTGCTGAGGAATTTTTTCTTCTTCCCTCTGTTGTGGGCAAAGTTTCTTCTAGTTGTGTCATACAGGAGATCGTAAGCCTTGTCCCTCACTTCCCACCTATTGCAGGGCTACAGGCATCCTGGAGGAGTGTTGTGGGAAATGAGCTATCAAAGACTGCTCAGGAGCAGGTAGAGCTACCCCTTGAGCTGTCCTCTGTAGTGTAGAGGAGTTTGGGTTTCATTGAAGCCTCCTTTCAACCTAAGACTAACACATTATTCCATTCTGCACATAGTGTCTAGTTAGTTTGTTGCACTCTCCATAATCTCAGCAGCTTAATTACATGACTATAATTACAATTTCTTCCTTGTATTTACCTCCTTCCCTGTGTTTCAGACTTAGTTCCATCCTGCAGACATGTCCTGCTACGACCTGTGTCCTCCCACCACCTGTGGCCCAACCCCGCTGGCGAATAGCTGCAACGAGCCCTGCGTCAGGCAGTGCCAGGACTCGACATATGTGATCCAGCCCTCTCCTGTGGTGGTGACCCTGCCCGGCCCGATCCTCAGCTCCTTCCCACAAAATACCACGGTGGGATCCTCAGCATCTGCAGCTGTAGGGGATGCTCTCAATGCTGGGGGGGTCCCTATCTCCTCTGGCAGCTCCTTGGGACTTGGGAGCCTTGGGCATTCAGGTCTAGGTGGCCTTTATGGGAGGTCCTACCGTCGTTACAACCGGTGTGGGCCATGATAAAGGCTTGGGAAAAAACCACAAAGGAACAACCAGAAGCTTAAAGGCATGATCCGGGTGCAGGACTGAGCTCATGACCGTGGCCATATGCTTGCTGACCAACCTCAGCTTTTCCCTAAGCTAATGGGACTGCAGGAGCTTGGCATTTCTGATTTAATGCCTTTCTCTGTTATCAATGAGGTGAAAAATGTAACTTTTATTGTTCCATGTAGGAGCTGGGTGTCCAGCTGTAAAGCATTCCCTTGAAATGGATGATTAGTCTTATCCATATTCAACCCTACTGCTTTCTTATGCTGTACATTTTTTTAAATTCTGCTTCTCACTCATTAAATGTATGGTGCATCATAATATGTGTCTTGCAATGTTCTTCCTTTCTCTTCCTCTTCGGAGCCTTCTGTGGGAAAAATTTGCCTGTGCATAAATTGTCAGTACTGGCCAGATCTTCATTTAACTCATACCATAGCAATTAGAAAGGAGGTAATCACAGACAAATGCAAGCAATAAGTAATACCCTTTTTTGACAGGGTATCTTTTCCCTTAGTCACACTTCTTTAAGTACAATATGAAATAATCATTCCTGGCTAACAGGGGGGGGGGGCGGGGGGGGGGAGAAGAGGTGGGAAAGCTAATGCTGTCTTACAGGCAGTATATCATTTCATCTCTTGGCATTCCAATTCCTTGGAGCTCATAAAATCCCAGCAATCTCTGGTATTATTTTCATACTCACTTTTTAGATTATGAAGAACATTCTGCCATTAACAAAGAATGGCAGTAAATATCAGGAAGAACATTTAAAAATCAACAAATTAAAGAAAAAACTATGTATGATTCTTCCTTTGTTGGCTTGCTAGTTTAGGAATGCTGCAATTAACGTGGTAATTTATTGCTAATTTATGTGATGATTTGGCAGCCCTTTGGGTTGTCACCAGAAATCCTCAGAGCAATAACAATTACCCTGCCTGTTCTGAACCTTGGGGAAGATAATGACTACTAAATTGCTAAACAAACGTTCATTAACACAATGCTGTTGATGCCTTAAGGATCCCAATTAAACTTTCATTCCACATTTTAAAGGGAGATTGAGCAGGGCAGATTGTTTGATAACTCAGCACAACAGGGACTTTTGCTCCCCGAGGAAGCTAAAGGACAAATGAAAACCAGAGAAGTTCTTGTGCAACACCACAGGGTTTTAATGTGAAAGAGAAGCATAGCAGCCAATTACAGAAAGATCAAGGCAATACAAGGGGAAGCACGTGATGCAGGTATCACGCTCTGGTAGCAGTGCCCAGGACCCAGGGGACAGCCAAGGTGATGGAGGGATGCAGGGGATACCAAGGCTCAGCCATGCAGCCAGGGCACATGGTGGCACGGGGTAGTGGGCTGCTGGGCACACACAGCCTCCTCCTGTCCCCATGCCAGGGCAGCTGACGCATGCTGCTCGTCCCCATGGCTCTTGCTCCATGTCCTTGTGCCACGGTCCTTGCTTCAGGACTGTTGCTGGTTCTGGGCACCATCCTGGGGGCTTTAGAAAGCCCCACAGCTCCCGCGGCGGGACATGCCCCACCTCTGGGCGCCAGGGAGGTAATACCCTGTGCCATAGGAAGAGAAGCCAGAGCTGTAGGACCTCCCACAACTGCCAAAGCCGCTGGACCCATATTGGCCTCCATAGCCCACGGAGCCCACGTCACCCATGTTGTCTCCATAACCTAGGGAACGGCCGTACCCAGAGGAGCCCCCATAGCCTCCCAAACCAAAGGAGCTCCCATAGCCCCGGGAACCCCTATAGCCAGAGGAGCCCCCCAAGCCCAGGGAGCTCCCAGAGCCCCCCAGACCAAAGGAGCCCCCATAACTCTGTGAGTTCCCATAACCCAAGGAGCCCCTGTAGCCAGAGGAGCTCCCCAAGCCCAGGGAGCTCCCATAGCCCCGGGAACGCCCATACCCAGAGGAGCCCCCATAGCCTCCCAAACCAAAGGAGCCCCCATAACTCCGCGAGCTCCCATAGCCCAATGAACCCCCATAGCCCCCCAGACCAAAGGAGCCCCCATAGCCCTGGGAGCTTTGGGAACTGAAGGAACTCCCCAACCAGGCTGGGCCTGACGATCCCACAACGCTCTCCTGAGGAAAAGAGCTGAGTATTGGGCCCGGGACTGTCACCACAGCCGGCGGCGGGAAGATCACTGCTCTGGAGTCAGGGCATTGCTGCACACACGGCTCATTGTAGCTCTCGGCAATCGGCTGAGGGCAGGTCACCTCGCAGGGTCTGCAGGACTCACTGTAGCAAGACATCCTTCTTGTGATGGCTGAGAGTCTGCAATACACAGCAGTAGGGAGGTTTCACATGCAGAAATTTTGACCTGACTCTAGATGCCTGCGCTTGCTTTATAGTCAGTGGAAATTGTGACAGCCCAGAGTTCATTACTTTGTAAAGTATACCTACATCTGGTCACATAAATCACCTGTTTATGGTTAAGATCCCCTAGATGTCATGCACAGATGCAGACATCTAATGTCACGTATGGTGAATCCCACACTTGATATCACTGCTCTTGCTTGTAGTATGATGAATCTAACTTATTAAGACCAGCTGAAACAGACTGAAGTTTGGTAAGGTATTTACAGCAAGTTAAGAAAAAAAGTATCAGATATAGCCAGTTATTTCTATAGTTTCATATTGCTTCCCCAGTAACACTCAACTTCCAAAGAGGAATATTTACTCTTATGGGGCAAGTACTACCACAAGGTGGTAGATACCATGATCACTCTGATATTTTTAGATTTTATAATGCATGTAGATCCTGAATTGGAGCTGAAATGCCTGGGAAATGGTTATTCAAAGTGGCATAGTAAAACTTCCCATTTTGTTCTAAGGATCACACCTTCAGACACCCGCAGTTCTCTAACCTGCCAATCCATAGCATCATGTAGAATTTAGCAGCAACAGAAAAAAGCTTGAGGAGGATAGAGGTTGAGCCAAATCAGACTTACCCTGTTCACCAAGGAGAATAAGCCAGGAGATGTGTATAGAGAGGCTTGGAGTGGAGACAGCTTTTATACATTTCTCAAACTGCTTACAGATATGAAACACCCTTTGTGCCTCAGGTCCTACATAGTAACAAAACAACCTTCACATTGAGGGATTTAATTTTGCTTACTTTGCACTGCCACTCCCCACCGTCAAAAACAGGTGTGATACAATGTCACTACCAACTTGTGGGCATTGGTCTGGTGAATGATGAGATCTTTCAGACATCTAATACCCAGCACCAGCATTGGGCCATCTGCTATTTAATTCCACTTTAAGTTTTAAGATAATAAGTTTGATTTTTAGGGTAGATGAGTAAGGATCAATTAAAGTTACCTGTCTTTTACGAATAGTGCCATTTAAGTGAATACTATGAAAATACATGCAAGCTGGATAAAAAGAGGGAGAGAGGTAATAGAAAAGGGAGAATTTCGGGTATCTGCATCTGGTTTAGAAACACGGGGGTTTTAACAACTGTATTTGCAGATCAAATACCATTAATCACTCATGAATTATAAGGTGGATTCCATTGTTATTTTTACTGCTGTCTGAAATGTCATTGAGGCAGTGACACTTCAGAGATGTTCCAGATCCTCCTAGGAACAACAAGAGGCTTTACAAACACCCACTAAAAATTCATATTTGATGTGTTGTACTATAGTTATACACAAACATGCAACTATCAGCACACAAATCTTGTGCAAGAGCATCAATTTAGAGATGTGTGAACGAAGCGCTCTGGGTCATTACAGCTGTACACAAGGTACAGCTTCATGCATAAGAGAGGGGGTCATTTAGAAGTGAGAGCAAACGATTTGGAAAGTCTAGGAGTAGAGATTTTAGGACATTAGCTTGAGACCCCTTGTTTTTCAGAACATGGAGAGATAGCCATTTAAGCCTGAAAATTCAGATAATTTTTAATGGGGCTCTTCCCCCCCCGACCTAGAATTTAAGGCAATAGATATTTCAGGCATATTAGCAAAATACTGGCTCATAAAGGGAGATGAAACTACTATCTATAGGCTGTAGCACGGACATGTCATAATCTCCCCAAACATATTAATACTTAGTAAAATGAAGAACTTGATATCATGAATGAAAATCAAATCATTGCAAGCATTGAAGTTATAAATCACAGTCTGGTAAGAGAATCAAAAGGAGTGACATTGGTTGGCATATATTTTAAGCGATGCTGTTTCATAACAAGGGAGCTTCTAAATCCTGCCCTTCTTCATTTAATATGATAATAACAGAAATTGCGAGCACTAAGTATTAACGAGTATTTGTGAAGCAGCTTAAGGTCATTATCTTCCAGGTGCCTGTCATTATTATCAGCAAATCCTGATGACACTTCAAAGGCACAGCTATCTTACAATTGAGAGGTAGTTTATAGCCTATCTTTTGCAATATTGTAAAATTAGAAAACAACAGATTTGCAAATAACTCTATGGTGCCACAGACTTATCCCATTAAAATATCTCCTTTTTAATACTACTTTAATTTCCCACTTTTTCTTAAGTGGTCAGTACTTCACAGGTGGGGGGGAAGAAAATTAGGATTGTTTTTAAATGAATTTTTAACTGAACTTCTAGAAGTAGAGATTTCAAATGAAATTTTGAAATGTTTGTTATTAACTTTAGACAGAGACCCTGTCAACAGTTCTGGCTATATCAGTAAGGCCTTTTCTGCCTCTTTGAAGGTGTCACTTAGCCCAGCCATTCCTCTGTTAACCTAGTGTCATCTGAATTTTCTCAGAAGACTTGAGAGAAGGATGTTGGGAGAGGTTTCAATGGACCGATGCTAGCTCCACTTGGGTTGTAGTTAATATTGCTAGTGATGATGGGACTGTATCATTCCCCTGTATGATGGGACTGTATCATTCACCTGCACTGACAGGTGCCTGCATCTGTTTTTTGCTCTCCCTGCCTGGGTTAATTGTAGGTAAAATGGAAAGCTTAGAGCACAAGCTAAAAACTTTTCCAGGGCTTACTGCTTTCATGCTGTTACTAGCAATAGTGATATCCCATCAGGAGTGCACCTGCATCGTGTCAGCTCTTTGCTCTGCTGTATAACAACATTTATATATCCCTAGCCAGCCACAAGGAGAACTTGGGTCCTCTCAGAGCCAAACTTCACATGTTGGATGACCTTCACCTGGTTTGTGCATGTGGCACCAAAAAGGGCTCCAGACCATGTAAGTACTACCTTGAACATTAAAATGGGACTACCATGACGCATGACTCTTGTTCTGGCTTTCAGTCGATGACTGTATGGCAACCCTTCAGCTGCAAGTTCCCAAAATTGTCATCAGCAGTTGCATCACACCCACACTAGCATTTGGGAGGGACAGTGCTGAGGTGGCAAAATCAAAGCTCCCACTATCACGTTCATTTTGTAACGAATTAGGACCAGAGGCACAAAGGGTGGCTTAAAGAAGCATATAAAAGCTCGTATCACCTGTAGCCCTTCTATCCACTTCTCTTGTCTCAGTCTCTGCAGTGAACAAGGTAAGCGTAGTTTCACTCATTCTTTCTACTACTGTTAGTACTTACTTTAACAATGCTTTTGTCACAGAGACGATTCCTGCATGTGTTTTTACAGACTTATGTCCTTTGTATCCTTCCGAAAATGTGTTTTTGTCCAGGCGCAGCATCAGGAGTCACTGCATTAGGATAGGAAGTAGATCTCCAAGCTATAGAAATACTTGGGGTGACTTACACCTCATAAAGTTTGAATTAATACATATAGTCATATTCTCCTATTCCTGTTAGCTTCTCTTTCACTGGTTCTTACACCTTATGAGTGCATCCTCGCCAGTCCAAGTTGCTACAGACAGATCTGTCTGTCTAACTTATCCAGAACTGAATCTCTGTTTCACATCAAATTATTTACAAAGGTGATCATGATGAAAAGAAAGAAAGGATAAAAGTTGAGTTGATACAAGAATGAGTTTTATTTGTTAGCATGTATAAATTTATCTGTTTCCCTGTTAACTTCTGATATTTCAGACACAGAGTCATTGCTTAATAATCTTGGTTCACGTCCTCCCAGTCCAGCTCTGGTATTTGCTCATTTAACTTAAAACTCCCTACTGCTGTGCATTGCAGACTCTCAGCCATCACAAGAAGGATGTCTTGCTACAGTGAGTCCTGCAGACCCTGCGAGGTGACCTGCCCTCAGCCGATTGCCGAGAGCTACAATGAGCCGTGTGTGCAGCAATGCCCTGACTCCAGAGCAGTGATCTTCCCGCCGCCGGCTGTGGTGACAGTCCCGGGCCCAATACTCAGCTCTTTTCCTCAGGAGAGCGTTGTGGGATCGTCAGGCCCAGCCTGGTTGGGGAGTTCCTTCAGTTCCCAAAGCTCCCAGGGCTATGGGGGCTCCTTTGGTCTGGGGGGCTATGGGGGTTCATTGGGCTATGGGAGTTCGCGGAGTTATGGGGGCTCCTTTGGTTTGGGAGGCTATGGGGGCTCCTCTGGGTATGGGCGTTCCCGGGGCTATGGGAGCTCCCTGGGCTTGGGGAGCTCCTCTGGCTACAGGGGCTCCTTGGGTTATGGGAACACACAGAGTTATGGGGGGTCCTTTGGTCTGGGGGGCTCTGGGAGCTCCCTGGGCTTGGGGGGCTCCTCTGGCTATAGGGGTTCCCGGGGCTATGGGAGCTCCTTTGGTTTGGGAGGCTATGGGGGCTCCTCTGGGTACGGCCGTTCCCTAGGTTATGGAGACAACATGGGTGACGTGGGCTCCGTGGGCTATGGAGGCCAATATGGGTCCAGCGGCTTTGGCAGTTGTGGGAGGTCCTACAGCTCTGGCTTCTCTTCCTATGGCACAGGGTATTACCTCCCTGGCGCCCAGAGGTGGGGCATGTCCCACCGCGGGAGCTGTGGGGCTTTCTAAAGCCCCCAGGATGGTGCCCAGAACCAGCAACAGTCCTGAAGCAAGGACCGTGGCACAAGGACATGGAGCAAGAGCCATGGGGACGAGCAGCATGCGTCAGCTGCCCTGGCATGGGGACAGGAGGAGGCTGTGTGTGCCCAGCAGCCCACTACCCCGTGCCACCATGTGCCCTGGCTGCATGGCTGAGCCTTGGTATCCCCTGCATCCCTCCATCACCTTGGCTGTCCCCTGGGTCCTGGGCACTGCTACCAGAGCGTGATACCTGCATCACGTGCTTCCCCTTGTATTGCCTTGCTCTTTCTGTAATTGGCTGCTATGCTTCTCTTTCACATTAAAACCCTGTGGTGTTGCACAAGAACTTCTCTGGTTTTCATTTGTCCTTTAGCTTCCTTGGGGAGCAATATTCACCCTTGTGCAGGGACAAAATGCCTTGAGTCCCTCAGCAGTCCAAGTGTCATGACAAAAAATGAACTTTGTTTCAGCCCTTTATGCAGTTCTTAAGTGGGTCTGTTTAATTTTTTTGTTTTTGCAGGACTTTATTCAATAGGTAGTCTGCGGAAGCTTTCTGTCAGTGCACAGTGATCTAAAAATGGCTTGAAAATACTTTTCTGTATTCCTGCCATTATGTTGAAACACATTGCATGCACAGATTTGCTTTCAGTTTAATTCTACAACTAAATTAAAAAATCAAAATACCTTATTATGGGAAAATGAAAATTTTCCAGTGATGAGGAGAAGTTTCTTTCCTGAGCAGGAAATACTTTGTGGTATTTGAAATTCATTCCTACTTCTCATTGACATGTCTTGTACATTTTCCTTTGAAGGGGTGGTTTCCTGAGCCATCCTTCACAGATGCCATGATGGGATGTATAGTGTGAATTGAGCACTGAGCTCAGATGATTTTGCAGACTCTGCTCTCCTTGGTAGATGAGCTCAATTAAATAATGAAGAAAATGTGGGTTTTTTTCTTAGCTCTAAATGTTCTTGTTACCATAAAACAACAGTAGCCAAGGGAACAAGGGGAAAGCCTCATGAAAGGTAGGAGTGGGATTTCTGCAGGGTTTATGAACTGCTTTTGTCTGCCGGTGGTGAGGATGGAAACCTGATACTAAAAGCTGAACTTCACAACCTGTAAGACTGTTAAGAATGACACATTTAAAGGGGGGTGGGGGCAGAAGGGGGGCAGAATCTGATTGTATTATGCAGTAGAACTTTAATAAGAATGAAAGTTAGAGGAAAACAACACAAACCTCTCCTTCATTGACAGAGTTTATAATCCCCACATTTCTTAAATTAGTCCATGACAAATATCCTCAACCAGCATAAAATGAGAAAC